TAAAACAATGTAAAGTACCAGCCAAGCATTCTTAGATACACACACACACACACACACACACACACACACACACACACACACACACCCCAGAAGAAGTAGGTTATAATTTCAGAAGTAGGTTGCAATTTCCGTGGAACACAGTGCCCCACGGGCAGTACTAAAATAAATGACCTGACATTGCAACTGTGATTCTAGGAGGGTCGTCTGGAGTGCTTTTGCTCCCAGGCCCCATGTTCTCGGTTTTGATTTCTGATTGAGAAGTAACTGTACTGTGGTCCTGAGTTTGTGGATTGATAACATCAGTGTATCTGAGATGATAATTCTCCTTTATTTGGGCCTGTTAAATTCTGGGAACACTTAGAAATAAAAATCAAACTCCGTCTTTAGTATTAAAAGATTATGCTAAATTCCAAATAATCTGTGTTTGTTGTTTAAGGTATTGTTTGAGAGACTCTGACATACCAGTTTTGTCATTTTTTAAGTGACGGTTAATAGCGAGTTTAAGTTAGTCAAAAGTATTGGCATGACTGAGAGATTTATTTTACTGCTAAATTCATTGTTTTAAACTAATAAGAACCTTGCCACTTATTATCTGTGTGACTTCCAACAAGTTACTCAACACTTCAATATCTCAGTTTCCTCAACTGTAAAATAGAAATTGGAATAGTCAGCTACCTCATAGGATTGATGAGGGGATTAAATAAATTAATATATGTAAATGCTTAGAACATTATCTGGCAGAGTAATCACTATATAAATATTGGCTGCAAGGGTTTAGAAACTTTTTGCAAGTTAAGCTCATAATTGTACCCTGACATATATTTGAGTTACTTAAGAAAATCAAATAACTAAATGCAGATAAAACATTTAGAGGAATTTAACTAAATTTTAAATGTAACTAATGGTTTGAGGTGATTTAGCCTGTTCGAATTGAGTTAATTTGTACTCTGATACCAGTGACAGTGAGTTTATTCTCATAGTATTAATAGTAGTTGTATAGAGAGAAGATCAAGACCTATAGGTTGAATCGAAAAGCTAAAAGAAAGCTACGTGTTTAAAATTTGTCAAGTTCAATAAATTCAATATTCATTTAGATCCCAAGTAACCACAAAGAGTTATTTTTGCTCACCAGGAGTTATTCCTGCCACTAAACTCAGAACAAAATTTACATGAGCAAATATCAGTTTCTATTAGTCAGTTGCAGGTAAAACAGAAAGTCGCGTTTTAGCATTTCTCAACCTCTCTTTCAATATGTTAGGAAACTATTCCTCTTGAAGAATCAAGTGCTTGTTAGCATGTTGGTAAACCTGTTTAAATTTATTCATCCTGGATTTCTCAACATGACTTTCCATGAGATGGAGCACTTTATTTGTGTACATCTACCATCCATTTAGGACAGGATTTTGTGACTCGTAAGCCTTAGACCAATGGAAAGTTTATAAATCAGCCATGTCAGTGTGTTTGAGACCGTAACTCTTCTCTCATCCAGGGGTGAAGGGGGCAGGAGCCTAAGGAATGAAGGGGAACCCTAGGGGGCGGTAGAGAGATCCACAGATGGAGGGGAAAACCAGGGAGAGGGAAGACCTCTGAGGCGCATTTTGCTTAGGACCCCGTCTCTGGCCATGCCTACGTGAATTTCCTCCTGTAAACGTTCTCGTGGATGACAAGATGACATAGCCCCAAACCTCCTCAACTCTTCATCCCAATTTCCACTGCTCCTGGGGAAAATATCTAAAATATTTTATTCCTAGTTTTATAAATTAATTGTTTTAATAATGTGTCATTTCCGTGATTGGTGTATGAAACTAGCAAAAGCTTTTGCCTGAGCCATAAAATTCTGGTGCATGTGGTCAGACTATGATGGTGGAAGCTGGGGAAGTCTTTGTTGGGCGTCTCCATGCTTTTCTGATGGTCATGCTGTAGTCCCCATGACATTCAGTTTTTGGAGTTGGGGGCTCCCTCTGCATTTTGTTGAGGACCCTCATGTACATACTGGTTATCCTGGGAAAGGAGCGAAAGCCCTTTGCTCCTCAGATCCTATATATGTCCAGGGAAGAGGGGATATCTCCCCATTCACTTGAAGTCCCCAGCCCATCTCCTTTCCAAATGTCTTCCACTGTAACCTTTCCAAACTTGGAAGCTGCCCCTTTTATCTTCCTGTAGAGGCCTCTGTCACCCCCAGTCAGCCTCCACTTTCCCTCACAAGGAGCATCCATGATGCATAGTTGTGGGTTTGCTATTTTTTGAGGCATTATACTTTACATAACAAGTTTGGCCACAGTCTGTGTTTGCCAAATAAAATTATGCCTCTTTTTTAGTTTGTGAGTATGTGTGTGTCCTTTGAAATTGCTCTAACTGCTTGTTGCTGTGATTTTGTGTAGTTGAGGTTAGCCAGGGGAAAATTATGGCCAAAAAAAGGGAGGACTGTCCATTTGAAGAATTTTTGATCTGTCTGTTTTTTTAATTATTACTCACAATATGTGAAAACAGAAATGAGATATTGTTAGAAAATCTGAGAAGTAAGAAACAGTTAAAATCTTTGGAGAACTACTCTTCAGAAGTTGAGAATAATTTTGTAAAGAATCTGAACAAGATTTCTTGCTTTGAATAGCTGTTTGGGGTCACAGTGAAGGGTTGGATAGCAGTCAGTGTGTGACTTTTGATTTATATATTTGAGGCATGTAAACAACAAAACAAACTATACACTCTTAAAATAATGTTGGCTGCAAGCAATCTAGTGGACAAATTTTTGTGCTGACATCTTGATCTAAATCAGACATAAGCAAGAAGGGGCAATGTGAACCCCAATGGGGCAAAAAAAAAGGTTTTTGCAAGGTGAAAGAATCTTAGATGTTACAGTGGTTTGCAGTTGTATCTAAACAAATAAAATATATATGTGGTATTGAAGTTTCATGGAGGAGCAGGGGCAAGTAGGAAAAAAAACTCTAAAAAGGCTTTTTGGCAGGGGAGTGATAATGAAAATCAGGTTGAGAAACACTAATCTAAACTGAGCCTTATGATGAATTGGTGAAATGATTGAAAGTTCATTTCTCCAACATTTATCTGTTCTTGTTCTGAAGGGTGTGCTTCACAAACAGAATCTGCTGCCTCCGTGGGTCTTGTTTCTTTGATGTTGAAGACTTGTGTCATTTCTCACTGCTGTGAAATTTCTGGTGTTTCTTAGATGGCATGTGGGGAGAAGGCTATATATGTGAAATTCAAAATGGCATATTCCAGTGGTTCCCTTGACTGAACCAAATTTGACCTTTGCATTGGTCTAAGAAAACCCTAAATGATGGGGCTACTTTGCCACATGTCACCACTCATAATTTGTAATACTCATTATTTGTAAGAACTCATAATTTTCATGCCTATTCAATCTTCAAGATCCAAATCAGGCATCACCCTATTTTTGAAACCTAAATAGAGTTTCAAGGTCCAGAGAGTAGTTATTCCTTCTTGAGAGCTGGCAGTATAGCATACGTACATCAATTATTATGCTAACTATACTGCGTTATGATATTTGTTTCTCCCTTTCTACACTGAGAGCTCCCGTGGGTAGACAGTGGTGCCTTATCCACCTCCAGATTCCTACACCTTGCATGCTAACCCGTAGATGCCTCAGTGATGGGACGTGGTGTTGCAGCTCAGTCATACTTGGAGTGTAACATACAAAGACACCTGCAGTCCAGTGGGAGTGGCAAGAAGCCATGGTCAAGGATCTCTTTTGGGTTTTTTGCAGAACTTTTACAAGAAAGGCTTCTCCATTAAACTGTTTCCGTGTCAAAATGCATCACAACCTTGCAGCATTTATTGGCAAGTGTCATTGCTATTTTTTATGCTATAAATGTTCAGAATCCAATTTGTTTTCTTCCTTATCCATCCCTGCTCCTCTTCCTTCCCCCTTTTTTTGGATAATGGCACCGCAGTTCACCAATTGCTCAAACCAGAAAACTGGAAGTCAAACTCTCCTCCTCCCAATCTCCACACCCCATCAATCTCTTTTCTATTTAATATTTCTTCAGTCCTTCCTCAAATTCCAGTGTGATAGAAACAGCTTCATAAAAGCATACCCCCTCACTGGTTGAAGTATTAAGTCTGCTGTGCGTTTAGAGATATTGTTTATTTCAAGCTCTGCAGCAGGAAAGGGGTGATGGCCACTGCCATGCAGCAGATCAGTAACGTTTGGAAAGGCATGGACATCAACTGCAGAATCAAACTGCGGCCATTTTTATTGCACACAGGAAGGGAGAAGGCAGGAGAACAGTGCATGTTAGCTAGACGACTTTAAAGGATTTTTTAAAAATTGAAGTCCCACTCATTACTTCTCTATTCCTAAGACTTCTCTGCTGCCCTGGGAAATTCTATATGAGAGGGGGGGAAATAGAACAACTGATTATAATACTATTAATGCACAGTCATTATTTGTTTTGCTTTTTTGAAAATACCAAAAAATACAAAGAAGAAAATAAAAAACATCCAGAGTTAGTGCACACACATTATGTAATGTGACAATGCTCATCATTACGTAGTTACTTCCATTTTTACAAAAAGGAGTTCAAAGTGATCATATTTTCCAAAATGACTTTTTCTGTATTTAAACAAGTATAGACATTTCCTGATATCCATATCCCACATGACATGATTTTTTAATGACTACATAACATTCTAATCTGTGAATTTATTTTATTTTTACTTATTTATTTATTTTTTATTGAGGTATAGTTGATTTACAATACTATGGAATTTATAGGAACAGCCTTTCATTATGTGGCATAATATTTTTATGCCTAACACTTTAAAGAACTATATGTATAAATCTAACACACTTTTTTTTCCTTCTGATAAATGCCAGGAAGCCAAACTGCTGAGTCATGGAGTGTAGGCATTTTTAAGTCTTTGAATGGATACAGCTGAATTTCCCTTCAGTAGAGTTCCCTCAATTCACAGGCAAAATATATTAAAGACAGTGTTTTATTTAAAACCACAGTGTGACCTACCTTCACAGCATGGCACAGATGTGGGCTTCCAGGCCAAACCACAGCAGATTGAAAGGCTTGGTTTGTGGCAATGAGGAAGGTTCTCTTCATGGAAATGTTTGAGGCAAAGTTACAGAGTAGCTAGCAGCAACAACCCCGATTTGGAGTGCAAACCACAGACAAGTATTCACACCTCCTTGCATGCCGGTCACACAGTCACATGCTTTTTTTTTTTTTTTTAATTTTCCCAGCAAGGTTAAAACTGTCATTTTCAGGATCACATATTAATCCTGTAGGATGACACCAGCAGAGCAGAGAAGGAAATAAATAAAAACAGTCACAGAAGACTCCAGTGAGCCTCCAAACTAAGATTCTAAAAGGTAAATTTGCAGGACATGCCTGTCTGTGTAGATGGTCTCTGTGTCTACAGGTCAGATATGTTTTAATCCTGCACTGTGGAAAGACCTGGTCCCTAATCTTAGTCTCAGCAGCCATTTTCTCCCTAGAAATGATGTACAGAGAATGGACCTTGTAGACCCATATCTTCTGAATGCTCAGAGCGTTCCATGTAGGTAACAAATAGAATCATTTGTTAATGGTAAATACTACCTTCATCTCCATATGACAGTTTTATCCTGATGGAAACATACTTTCCAATTCCCTCCCTGCTCCCATTGTTGATAATGAGAAAGTCTCCAAATCAGGAAAATGTCCATAGCAGAGACCTGACTTACTGGAGAGTTAATGTCACCATCTACTTATGGTCCATGAGTTCTTGGGCCAGAGACAGTATTCTGGCAGACAATGGGTAATGTGACACTCCTGGGCCTCAGTCAGTAGAATCCATCAGCCTCGTCGTCCTGCACAACTCAATTTATAGACAAAACCCATAAAGTTTTGCAGTCAGGAAAGAAACCTTCAAAGAGTTTCATGACTTCAAAGGATCAGTTTTCACAATTAAGCCCCCAATTTAAGGCAGCAGAATATACTTAGTAGAAATGCGCCCTGGTAATTATCTGTACAAAATAAGCAGCTCTCAACACAAAAAGGAATTTGTGCGTGCACACTTCTGTTTGTATAAGCAATCTTCTATTTTGCACTTGAGGCCATATACTGTGCAGACGCAGCTCCTTAAAACATTCTGGAGCCACTGTGATTTAGCTGGTTGGTATTTACCTAATGTCAGCAATTAGAGTGCAACTGCTGACCCAGAGGCAACTTCAAGTTCTTTATTGTCTTAGAGCTAAATATGTGTATCTTAAAAAACAGAGTGATTTAAAAATGGATAGGTTTACAGTTAAAGTGTTTGGGGAGAAATACTCAAGAAATCCTGCATCTGGAATAATAAATTTTCCTGGCTTGATTCTTTTCAAGACCCCCCAACCTATAAGCATCCAATTCTCAAATTACCCAAATCTATAAACAGTTCCTCCTTTACGTTCTGCTTCTGAAATACTAATCCAAGGGTCCTACTGTGAACACCTAGATGATACTTATAGAAAATTTGTTGGTTCAAAACTGGCATAAGAGAATAAACTACAAAGAGCAGAAATCACCAAGACTGGCTGATTTCAAAAGGCAACCACTGGGCAGAAGTGCCCTCCCCCCACTTTGCATGTGTTGAACAGAGCCTTCCTAAGTCTACCCAGGCCACTGGACTGCTTTTCTCCCTTCCTTTGGTCCCATCCCTTTGCATTTCGAAGGTCAGGAATCTACTCTGGAAAACGTCTTCCTGCAGTTTTCCTGCAGATAGCACTGAGAGTTTTCTTTCTTTAAAAACTTCCACTTTTTTTTAAGAACCCCATAAGATAAAATCCACAAAAGTGCTTTTTGACCTTTGATGCCCTTTATAAATGTACTCTGCTATTACCAAGCAAACCTGAGTTATTCATTAGCTTCCTTCTCATCATGTGAGAAGTTTGTGGTTTACACACATTTTTTTTTTAAGTTTTCCAAATTTAAACAACTTCCCTGCCGGAAACTTGGCAACATAGATGTCAAATGTGCATATATAGGGTGTACTCTTTAAAAAAGAAATCAGCAGAATTAATGCTGATTAAAAGAATTAATATATCCACTGAAGCTTAGCTTAACAACACTGAAGCAATGGTGAATTAGGGACAGGAGGATGGTGCAGGAATATTGTAAATCTTTTTTAAACAAAATAACTCTACGGAGACAGTATATTTTCTTAGAAAACAGTTTTATTTAATAGTTTCTTGAAATTCTAGTGACAGATCTGACTGTTCACCAAGTAGATTAAAAAGTGATAAATGAGAAAAAGCAAAGATAATAGCTAACAGAACAGGGCAGTAAAATTTATCATCAGTAATAAGTGCAGCTCATGTATCAAGACGTTAATGCTCTGTATCAGAGAGAAAACAAATAGTGCGACTTGTCTGTTCATTCTGACACAAAGCTAGAGAATTCCAGGCATCTCCCCAAGATATTGCTAATATACTTTTCTCCTAAGTAGCTACAGCAAATCATATAATGAGTGGTTGAAGCAACGGGGACATTTTTTCCCTGGAGTAAAGTCAGGGTCCAAGGGGCAATATAAGAGTACCAAGAAAGGGAAGGAACTTGTTCTTTATTAATTCAGAAGACAGAAAAGGGCAGGAAGACAGCCTTCAGATCAACAAATGCTAAGAGAGAATATTAAACAACTAGAGCTGGCCACACAGTGAAATTGACTCCTTCTGAAGCTGTGTGTTTTCTGTCCCAGGTGATAGTCTCTGGCAGAGCCCAGATGTCCATTTGTCAAGGAAGCTGTGTGACGGCATCTTGTATTTCATTTTCTGCATATTTATTGATTGTCTATTAAATACCAAGCATGCTGAATTATTAGTACCAGGTGTTACTAAACAGGCAAATCCATTTTGCATCACCATTCATCACTGGTAAATGCCACATCCTAGAGTACGGGGGAGAATGAGGCTTGACCTCCACTGATCCTAAAACTCTTGCCAGTTGCAGGAGTGTTGAGCTACCAGTACAGTACAGAGCAGGCCAAGACCTGCCTTTGGGGCCACAACATGATAAATGTCAAGCAGTTGGCAATTGAATAGGCCAGCACTCTAATCATCTCAAGGCCATGCCCTGTGTCTGGACAGAGTTCTTGGCACCCATGGTGTTGTCTACCACTTCTTTTCCATTCACCTTTGGTTTCATCTGGTCAGAAACCTAAGATCACAATGACCATATTTTTTGCCTAGAACAGTTCTTAGTTATGCAACTGTTGTCCCAATGTGATAATTAATAGAGCCCACTTTCACTTTCAAACCCATCCCAGTGTGAATAACAAATTATATTGTCACCTACCTGCGACCCACCATGTCCTGGAGGAACTACAGGTAGTTGCCACTTTGCGTGGTATTATGTTAATGGGAACTCATGCATGTCAGACCCATTTCCTGTCTTTGTACAGTGGGACCATACAAAGCAATCAGACTGTTTTGGAATACACAGGTGTCATTAGCACAGTGCCATGCGAAGTGAGGAATGCCTGTATTTACTGTGCTTCCTGACAGAATACTTGTGAAGCAGTCATTTCTGGCCAATTGAGATTGCAGGTCTAGTCTATCCTTTACTCTAGATGTTGCCTAAATATATGAGATACCAAGGAGACTTTTCCAATTAGGAAGCTAAATATTAGGCCTTACAGCACAACTGTTATTTTGCAATTGACCTAACATCAAACAAAGAAACAAACAAACAAAAAAACGCCAAAAGCCTCTGGCTCAGTGGGTCCTCCTTGGATTCAGTGTAGTTACCAATGCAGTTTGGTTTGTTTACCTGTATTAGAGAATCCTATGTCTACAAAAAAGCTGGCCTTCTAGGGTACCTGCAAACTCCTCTGGGTATGCACCTAAGCCAATGCAAACTTCTTGATGCCTATAAACCATTGTAATATTGTATCCCATTAGTTAATGAGTGGTTTACTCCATGAAATTCTGCCCCAGGAAAGACTAGAGTTAAGATGTAATATATTTGGATGGTTTTCTAATATACTATTCAAACTTTCTTGCAGAAATCCTCAATCTACATAAAGCCCAGTCATCATAATTTTTAAGCTAACCCCAGGTAATGTTTGCATCCAAGTAGTGGAGCTTCAGGGCATAACTTGTCCCATTTATTCATCGACATCTGTATCTGCCTTCTTGGTACATCAGACTGCTTAGACTAATGTATTTGAAGTTTCTATGTTTTCAGCAAAACTCCATATAGTCCAAGTTCTGTTTATCTACCTTTCATATTTCGTTAATGAGCTCATTTAGAAGGGACTCCCCAAGAGAAACACTAGACCTTCTTTTAAGAAGACTCAGGGACCAACTACGCTTATGATAATGCTAGTTCTTGGAGGATCATTAAGTCTACTTAATCCTGCTATATTCGCAATTCAGGCATCCAATGATTCAAGTTTGGAGCAGTGTTTTGCCATCTTCTTAGACATCTTGCTTTTATCATTTTCACACAGACTTTTCAAGATTTTTAAAACTAGTTTGTTTATATTTACATCCAACTTAATTTTTTCATAAATATTTATATTACTTACAGAATTTCAAAAATGAAAACATTGTTTTGTCTTTGTATTCATCCTTTCCTTTTCTTAACCTTTGGGAACTTAATAATATATTATCTAAATTAAGAAAGAGGATTTTTGCCCACATTTTAATTATTTTCCTTTACTTATTTTCAATTGCTTTAGTAAGTATTTAACACTCAAAGGTACTTCAGGTTTAAGCTACGTAATCATTAGAGGATTAAATCAGCAAACTGTTTTTAGGTGAAATAAGTTTTTAGTTTGAGCTTTTTTTGTTGTTTCTCTTCCTTCCTCCCTCCCTCCTTCCTTTCTTCCTTCCTTCTTTCCAGTATCACTAGGCAGACTCATATTTAAAACTGTAGTACCAGATGGAAAGCAGAGGTTTCTTCATCCATAGAAATCCACCCAGTGAAATGTCCCCACAACAGACTAATTGAACTTGGAATCACATAGGCAGGACAAATTCTCTCTTGGTACATAGTAGTATATCTATTCCAATTATGTATAATGGGTACATTTTCCAAATTGAGCCAGTATCTAGTCCGATTAGTTGATACTTGTGTGATATTAAACTTCACTACGCTTTTCCACTGAGAATATATCATTCTTAAAAATTTTCTACAGCCACTAATTCAACCATAACACTACACACCATCACAAAACTGGAGGTGAACTGGAATGCTGGCATGCTACGTAGGAAGATGAGAACACACCATCCAACGCACCAACAGGTAACACAATCAGCATAAACCTCAGGTAGATGGACAGCCATGGAACATCAGGAGAGACACCAGTTTCTGAAAACTTCATGTTGTAGAGCTAACAGTAAGAACTCAGTTTATATGATCCAGACACACTTTTCATTTGTTACATGAATATCTTTTAAAATAATGTAATAATCCTATAAGGTAGATACTTTTATTATCCCAATTTGACTAATGAAGAAACTCAAATTCAGAGAAGTT